ACGTTGACCTGCAGGGTCATTTAGATTTAACATCTTCATTCTGCTCTTTTATCCAATTGGGCGACCAAAAGACAGCAACCAAAACCGGCGCACGAAAGTGCATGATTAATGGTTGCAAAAACTGAAGTGAACTGAACTTGGCAATAAGGTACTCTATGTGGCCCCTATCCCCCAAATGTGGACTGCTGCTCAGTCTGTTCATAACATGACTCAGCTAATAACGTTGAATTAGAAGGCATAATACCGCGGTCTGTGGGTTGGTCGTAACAGTGATATATTACGGTAGCTTGGAGGAAAGCTTGAGGAACATAAATGACAGGGATACAAACTTTTCGGTCAGGAACAACAATAGTAGTTGGCGTGTGTGTGAGGGAGTAGGATCGAGAGAAAAAAGTGAACCAAATAAAACATGAAGAAATGATCGCCAAAAACGGCAAAAATTTGTTTTTGTTGTTACATGACCAAACAATACAGAAACTTTATTCACAGCTGTGAATGCGTCCCCCGAATGAGGCATTCTAGCAATGGGACACATAAGTGAAAGCATTATGTATTCATTTCGAACGCGGTCTCCTCCCCGGTGTCGGCCGACTTCGATTCGGCTGGTGCACTCAAACCGGAGGTGTCGTCTGCCCCAACCGGTTTTTGGGGAGTCAACAGATTCTGGATAATCTCGGCGTACCACGGGCCGAAAACGTGACGATTATGTGCCAACAAAGGCAAAAGACGACTGGCCAAATGGGAAAGACTCAGACTGGTTGCATTGGATAATAGAGATGCGCTGCTACAGGCGGCAGAAGATTGATCTGAGTCGCCCGAAACCGGTCCGTTTGGACGCAAATGACCACCGGTGGCCATAACAACCGGACTCGGGTGAACTGGACGGTGAGTTATATCGCACAGTAGACTGAATCCGGCAGGGAGTGGAAGCGATTCTGGCGGATGTGAAGAGAGCGCTAGGCGGAGGAAGCCCATCGCACGCTTATCTGTTCAGAAATGAAAGGGGAAAAATTGTTTTGATCACGTTGCCGAAAATGAAAAAGGGTTTAGATAAATCAAGCCAAGTCAAAGTGAGCCTTATGCACCCGTAGGGTGAATTTTCAGCGATTCTTCACGATAATACAGTGGAATTGAGGGGGATCGCATCAGACTGTGAATAGATTAAACAAAAACCAGAGCAAACTGCAAGCAGGAAGACAATAGTGATAGATTAAAATGAATAAGTAAACTAATTCATTAGGTGTTCAACCAAACCTGCAATAATTGATGCCCGACTTACTAAAAACCAAGCAAGAAAAGGGAGGATGCTGTTTCTGTATGTGACTCTGCGTGCGGGAAGGAGCCTATAATGGGAGCAGTTACGGGGGTTTGACATGGATTTAATAAGTTCGTTGTGCAAACAGTGATCCTTGTTGTTCTGTCGGTTATTCTTTCACATGCGTCCATACGTTTGCACACAATGAAATCAACCAGATGTTCTCTGGCTATGGCGCTACATCGGGAAAGAGGTTTTATGGAGCTGGAAATGAAAACCAGTTCTTTTTCTTTCAGACAGGGGAAAAAATTAAGAACAGTACATCCAATGATGGAGAATGCATGCTACCACGAATTTGAAAATTACGTTGGGAAACAGCAAGCTTCCTAAGCCTGAAAGTATAAAAATAAAGTTTACGAACCTTGTCGTAAACTTTCTCGATATGTATAGTCCAAGAGAGACTGTGGGACAGAACGACTCCGAGGTATTTACCAGAGTCAGCTTTGGGAATGCTGTGGCTGTTAACTACTAGATGCGGTAAATTAATAAAGGTAGTTTGATAGCGGGAGCCAGGTT